GTTAAGTAAAAGAAGCCCAAACTAAAAAATGCAACATATTGAATAATTCCAGTTATATGACATTCTAGAAAAGGTAAAACTACATAGTGATGGAAAACAAATCAATGGTTGGCAGGACTTCAGGGTGAGAGAAGGGTTTGACCCAAAGAGGCAGCACAAGCGAGATTTTTTTGCAATGATACAACTTTTCTGTATCTTGATTATGGTTGTGGTTACACAACTTTACGCATTTGTCAATACTCATAGAACTGTATTCAAAAGAGGGGATTTTACCATATGTACATTTTAAAAATTAATCTAAAAAATTAAAAAGAGAGAAAAAGTCTCTGCTTACTTAAGCCCCAGGGCTCCTTGGGTGAGAGACATCATTCATTTAACAAACATGTAAAATATCATGAAAACGCACCTAATGTACAACAGTAAATAAACAGATATCCCTCCCCTCAGGTAGTTTAGTTTATTTGGGTACACAGTGTCTAAAGTGTGGGAAAGCAAGAATCAAGATGGTTTGGACAGCATGACTTCCATCTTTAAATTCAACAAAACATAACCTCTCCCTCAACCCTTCTGCTCCCTTCACCTGCAACCTTATCTATATTAAATCATTCACAGCCAAACTTCCTGAAAGAGGTGAATGTCCTCACTATCTCCATATTCTCTCATGCCATTTACTTCTCTTACCATCACAATTCAGATTCTACTTCCTCACTCTATGCAAACTGTCCTTTTTGAGGCCACCAAAGTCAAGTAGTCACTCTTCAGTCCTCATCTTATTTGACTTCTCAGCAACTTTTGGCTCTGTTGATTACAAATCCTTCTTGATATATTCTCCCCCCACCCCTTGATCATCAGGACAAGTCCATGACCTATCAATCCCTGCATGGTTTAGCCCCTGCCTAACGCTCTTGCTTCAACTTTCTTGCTCACTCTCTTAAATATAGTCATGTTATTGTTGTTGTTAGTTGCTGTCAAGTCAATTCTGACTCATGGTGACCTTATGCATGCAGAGTAGAACTGCTCCATAAGGTTTTCAAGGCTGTGATCTTTCAGAAGACAAGCCAGACTTGTCTTCTGAGGTGTCTCTGGGTGGGTTCGAACTGTCAACTTTACAGCTAGTGGTCAAGCACTTAACCATTTGTGCTACCCAAGGACTCCAAATACAGCCATAGGTGCTTGCTTTCATCTCCTCAAAAGGCACAATGTACCTTCCCACCATAGGCCCTTTGCACAGATTTTCCTCTTTCTTTGGATTGCTATAATCTCCCCTGACCCCAACAGTTTATAGTTTACAGAACTGCTTCCAAATATACCTTCTAATTTAATCCTTACAACAATCTTAGCCAGTTTATCTATCATTAGCCCCATTTTACACATGAGAAAAATGAAGTCATGAGAAATTAAAGGATCAACTGGATGCCATTCATCTGGAAATCGCAGAGCCAATCTAGAGCTTCCAGTTAAAAGCTTACACTCCTTCTAATGCAGCTGGAGGAATAACAGCTCCCACATCTTCCTCCCCAAATCCAAAAAAGGAAAAAGAAAGTGATGGCAGCAGGACCTTCACAGACTCTGTTTCTATCCCATCACATTTTATGACAGATTGATGGGAGTATGGGTCAGTCTGGGTTTCAGTCTCAGGGGAGAGGACTTGCAAAGGGGAAAATATCCAACTTCTGTTTTGACTGTTACACTATCCCAGCAGGAGAGAACAGAAGAAGGAAAAATGTCCTTGGCTGGTCTGGAAAGAACTCTGCCAGTAAATCTGGTGGATATGCCAACTTGCCAAAGACATCCCCAAAGTCCCATTAACACCATGACACCGAACCAGAAAGGCACTTAGTAACACTGCTGACTTCTTGGCAACTTTTGAAAGCAAGATTGTGTTTCTATTTATCAAGGTATGGATGGGATATCCAAAGTTGGAAAGGCATTGGTAAGGGACTGAGAAGTGGGAGGATTTTGCTGCCAAGGACTGGGCTGAATGTCCCTCTGAGAGTGGATCACAAAAGTTTTCTGCCAAACTTCTTCCCTGTTCCAGTTCTTAACCTCTGGATTGACTCTGGAGTCCCAGATTCATGTGATCCTCCCAGACAAAGAAAGTGAGGAGTATTTTTTAGGAGTCCCTGGGTGGTGCAAATGGTTAACATGCTCGACTGCTAATTGAAAGGCTGGAGGTTAGAGTTCACCTGGAGGCACCTCAGAAGAAAGCCTGGTGATCTACTACTGAAAAATCAGTCATTGACAACCCTATGGAGCATGGTTTGACTCTGACACACATGGGGTCGCCATGAGTCAGAACCCACTTGACAGCGACTGGCTGTTTATCAGAGAAATGTGCTCTTCATAATGACAATCTGGACCCACTGTCCAAGCTGAGTGGAAGCTTAGAGAGCAACAGCATAAACAGTGCGAAGTATAAGAGCTCAGGAATGTTCCTGCAGGATCTGTACTTTAACATACACCACGTGATACAAGAAAGGCAAAAATACACTTGTGCCAAGTCGAGGGCCATTCATATCCGGTCCCAGAACATGTGGTGGATTCGTCTGTTCTGATTAACAGAAAGTCTCCTAACACCTATTTCTACAGAACAAAGTGCCCTGGACAGCTAGCTCTTCTGATCCACCTAAGACTGAGGAACACCACACAGGAAAAAGTACAGGCTGCTTCTGACATAGCATGAGGTCTTCATCCTGGGTAGGATAGATAACACAATGCTTACCTTCACACAGAAAAATGAGAGAATTTTCAGCTTCTTTTGAAGAAGGAACCGAGTAAGTAATTGTCTACAGTTCTGCATTAACTCTGAAAACTTCCATTCAACAATTGCTTTCATTGCTCCAGAGGAGGTAGAAATATCTCAAGGAGCATCATAAAATTCTTCAAAATAAATTCAATTTCAGTTTAAAATTAAGTTTAACACTAATTAGCTGCTTTAATTTAGCTCTAATGCGGTGCTTTTCAAAGTGGGCAGGGAATAAAAATGAAAAGAGCAAAGGTGTTGAGAAGTGCAGGATATCTCAGATATAACTTCTAAATTTGGCAGCACACCAGCTCAGCAATCTGGAACAATTATTTTCCTACCCTGAAGCTGTTGACTCTTCCTCAAAACAATGTAGCACTCCCACAGTTTGTTATCTAAGAGGCCAGGGTGATTAAAGGGAAATGAAAAGGAATTCTCCCCAGGATCAACATCTGAACAACAGAAATAGGGCTGCCTTCACACTAAAACAATTCTCCATGGGTCCTACTGTTCTATTTTTTTCAAATGATGGAAAATCTAATTCCAGGGAAATGTTAACAGCTTCATTATGCAAACATAGGGCTAATAAATTATATAGCTAAAGAGTTCTTGGGCTAAGCTACAAAGGTATTTTTGAAATAATATCTAATCTCTTGATAGAAATCCATGGTTATCAAGGGTTTAGCAGGATAAGCAAAACTCCCACAAAACAGAGAACCAAAGGGCTGAGCCTAAAAAGGATTCACTTGGGATACACCTATGACTTAGGCTTGGGAGACTCAGGCTTAGGCTTGGTGAGTCCAATTCAATATGGAGTAGGCAATGGTAAAGACCAAGAGGGGGTAAAAAACACAACAGATGCTTAGAACCATGTTGGGAGCAAAATACATAGGGTTTGAAAAATTCAGGTAAACCATGGAGGCAGGGTTAGAGGAGTCTAGATTGCTGTCAATAGCATCGGCCTAAGGAAAGAACCTCTTGATACTGTCAGAGAAGAATAAATAATTTCCCTTCTGGCAGAAGATAAGGAGGTTTGGAAGAATAGGCAGCTGCCCTAGGCCAACCCACCAGACAAGAGAAAGGCATTTCCCTCAAACTCTTCACAGGTTAGTGGAAAGAAGGGAGCACCTAAAATGTGCAAATTGGTTCATTAACCTACACCAGTGCTGTCAAGTAGACTCTGATTCATGATGATCCCATGTGCATGTGTGTCAGAGTAGAACTTTGCTCCACAGGGTTTTCAGTGGCTGGTGTTTTGGAAGTTGATCACCAGGCCTTTCTTCGGAGGCATCTCTGGGTGGACTTGAACCTCCAGCATTTCGGTTAGCAGCCAAGCGCATTAAACCATTTGCACCATCCAGGGGCTGTGCCACCAAGACTCCCATTTACTCATACAAGGTCTTTATTCCATGTGATACCCACATTCCCACACTGGAACTCTCTTCAAGTCTGTCACATTGCCCTAAAAACGTCTCGAATTGGGACTGAGACTGAGAGTGATGGGCCATCATCCCACATTAAGCCTAGACTGCCCTGGCCCCACTATCATATGAACTCAGTTGTGACAATGCCATTGCTTTGGTAAAATGACGATCCTCAAAATGTTCCCGCAACTCTGGCATCTGCCCCAGACTGGATGATCCCTTTTACATTTTCATACCCCAAATAATCCTGATCCTTATATTCCACAACCAGCTTGGCCACCCCATACCTCCAGGTCTTAACAACTATAGTAAGCACCATAGAAATGTTAACTATGACAGTTATTTTATGTCATTTTCCTTCAGGACATTTTCTTTCTTTTAAGAAAATTCCTTATAGAGTCCTATGTTGTCGATAATAATAATAACAATAATAGTTCACACTTACTGAGTGCTTACTCTGTCAAGCACTATACTAAGGGCTTTACATATTTACCTTTTTTACATATTTAATCATACTGCATCACCCTAAGAGGGAGGTGCTCCTATTGTCCCTATTTTACAGAAGAGGAAACTGAGGCAGTGTGCCAACCCCGATCCTATCTTGTTCCCTTACTTTGTGAAGAATCCCCTATCAAACAGTAAAGCCTCTGGAATTCAAGGTTTATGAACTGGTTTTTAACTGCTGGGAGAGAGGAAGAGAAAGAGAGGGGGAGAACAATACTCTTAGGTTTGGGTTTTTGAAAGAGTATTCTAGACTCCTTTGGTCACAAAATCCACATAAGATGTAGCTATTCTATTATTTTGCTATGGCACTGGGTACAGCCAATTCTTACCCTATTGTCTTCCTGGATCTCCCAGTCACTGGAGAAAGTCGCCAGCTGCTGCCCTTGAGAACAGTTTGAAAACTGGAAAAGGCTGGAAAACATCCTTCTGTTCTCTTGAGTGTCTGGAAAGATGGCATCTTGAAAATTGACCCCATGAGGCAACAGGTTATAATTTTCATCCATCCTAATGGGGAATTAAAAAAAAAACAGAGATGTAAACTGGACACCCATGGTGTATAACGGTTCAAGCAAGAGTCATAGGAGACTGCGACAGTCTTGCCAATTACAAGACAGTCTTGCACGGTTCTCATTAGAGAAGCCAGTATATCTGATTCTGCCTCACACTATAGGAGTCTGTTCTTAAGGTTTTCAAAAAGAAGAGTTTGGGTGAAGTAGGGGAAAGTGTATGTGTGTACATATGCATGTTATGTGCATTTGTCTACTTGTATTGTCTCCCAAAGGACCATCCTTCTCATAAAAAGATTGTTTCTTGGTGAAAGGATGGCCTGTTGTAATGACCCAGGTTCAAGTACTACCAGAACACTTATGTCCTGTATGATATGAAACAAATTTCTTAAATTCTCTAAACCACAATATTCCAATCTGTAAAAAGAGAATTATAATAGCACCTACTTCTTGGTGGTGTTCTAAGGATTGCCCTAGAAAATGTATGTAAATAAGTCAAGTACTTGGCAAAGAGTGAGTGCAGTATAAATATTACTTAACATTTTTACAGAACCTTAGTGTACATAGCTAGTTATAAAGATAAAGAAGTCATGAAAAGGAAAAGAAAGATGGAAGTTACACTCCAGCTCAAAGGAGGCGTGAAGGGCTCACAGGGAATCTCTACCGCCACTTTTCCCCGTAACACTGACCAGAGCCTGCTCTCATCTCAGTGGGCCCCAGAGTAACAGAGGAGGAATGATTTGTATGCAGTTGTTAACACACTTCAGGGTAAGACAGCCCTGTGAAATGGAAATCTGTCAGGCTACTGTTTGACTCTATTTCTACCCTAACTCTTTGTAAATATGTCAGAGCAAAAGATGAAAGAGTTGGCTGAACACCACAGAGACATTGGACAAAATTGTTTTTCGTGATAAAAAAGAATAAAATAATGTCTGCTTAAACACTTGGAAACTTTTTTCTTTGGAAAAAAAAGTTTCATTGTTGAATATTTTTATAGCCAGGTTCTCAGTATTTTTCCTAAATAAAAACATGAGGAATCTGAGTTAGTTAAGTTTCTCTGTATCAAGAAGCGTACATCTCAGTCCCTGCTGACATTGTTTGGAAACTACACTTGCCTGACAATTAAAAAATTTATTACTTAATTTAGCTAAACCACGCAAGCCAACACAAAGCAGGTATGCATTCTAAACTTAGATTTTCTGGCTTGAATATGGAAAACATGTGTTGCCAGGAGCTTATGAACACCCCCCAGTGGAACTTAACTGTTTTCTTTCTCAGAGCGATCAGAAATCTCAAGAGCTAAATGTGAATCTGCAGACGTAGGTCACAGCCTTTCCAAATACCCTTACTCTGCTGCTTCCCAGAATGGAGAGACTGGAAATATTTTCAATCACACTAACATTGGTTTAATTCACTCACTATCTTGATATATATGTTAGATTCCATTTTGTTACTCTGTATCACTCTCCTAATTCAACTGGAGGCAACCAATGAATTTAGGGTTCCATCTGCTGTTCTGTTTCAAACTTCAGTAGAACCCATTGACTGAATTCATACGCACATACATTCCATCTGGACGACAGGCAACTTTCATGGAACTTCACCAGATCCCAGTGGTCTAGAATCAGCCTGATTCACCTTTATGCTCTTCACAGCGCTGTGAGCTAGAATCTTATATCGAGCCAAAACAAAACAAAACAAAACAAACAAACCAACCCATTGCCTTGGAGTTGATTCTGACTCATAGCGACCCTAGAGGGCAGAGTAGAACTGCCCTATAGGGTTTCCAGGGAGCGGCTTGTGGATTTGATCAGCCAATCTTTTGGATAGCAGCCAAGCTCTTAACCACTTCGCCACCAAGGCGCCAATAAACCTTTGTTACTTGGAATAACCTGGCATTGGGATCTGTTGGCAGCTGATATAAGACGGTGAAATAAGAAGACAGCTGGGCTGTATTCCATACGCTTCACATTTTGGCATTTAAGTGGGCGGAGAAAGGAGAAAGTGAACTCACATTTGTTATGCACCTACCCTGCAGCAGGCACTTTGCATAGGTTATTGTATTTTAGTCTCAAGCAACCTTGTTTCTCACATTATAAAAGTGAAGATATTCCGGTTCTTGAGAATGCAAGTAACTTGTTCAAAATTACAGTTTGGAAGGGCAGAGCCGGGATTCCACCAACAGTCTGACTTCAGAGATTTCTTTTTTCTCACCAGCCCAAGATGCTCCCTCTGAAGCTAGATGAAAAAACACGAGTCAAACGGGATTGTTGGGAACCACTTCGAGCTTTTGCCGGAAACACTCTTCTGTGTTCTAAACTCAGATATCATCCCTGTTTTTTTTTTTTTTTTTTTTAAGTCAACCCTTAGCCAGAGGTACTGAGGATCTTTGTAGAGACCTCGGAGAGAAAATAAAGAACAGTAAGAAGCGGCGTCTACGGATTATTCGAATTTGGCACAGACAATATTCCATGGGAGTTCCTAGCTGGCCGCTGACAACGGTAACCTCGGGGGGTCATGCAAATAGGTAGTGGTGGCAGGAGGTGCCGGGCTCACCTGAGGAAGAAGAAATAGGAGTAATCCTGAACCACGGTGTGGGAATGGCACGAGAAGTAGCCCAGGCCCGTGAGGTTGAGTCTGGAGCCCGCAGGCACCTCCAGCATGCTGCCCCACGCCTGGTCGCACAGCATCTCGATCTCGGCCGAGTAGAAGAGCCCCCCATCGCTGGCCTCGTACTGCCACGGCAGGTAGTTGTACATGCTGTACACCTCCTGGTGCAGCGCCAGCACTTTGGCGTACACGATGATCTCGGCCAGCTCTGCGCGGCAGCCCTCGCTCAGGGGTCTCCACTCGGAGGGCAGCTGGCAGCCGCCGCTCGGGCCGAGCCGGCCGGCAAGACAGAGCGCGGCGAGCAGCAGCGGACGCAGCATGCCGACAGTGGGACCGGACAGCACGCCTGTCGCGCGCCCCAAGTCCGCGCTGGGCCCCAGGCTCGCTAGCCTGGGCGCATGATGGGGACCCCCGGGGCAGGTACGGCGGAGTGGAGGCGCGCGGCTGCGAGTCGCAAGGGGCGTCGGGGAGCCCGGAGCGCCAGCCTCGGCCCACAGCGCCAACCTGCTGACCCAACAAGGGCAGCTCTCGGCGCCAGGGTCCTCGCGCAGCTCTCTCGCCCGCGAGACTGATCATGCCCGGCCCTTACTGACGACGCTTTAAAAGGGTCGCGGGGACTAGCGGCCGCCTGCCTCCCAGTCCCCCCCACCCCGCCCCACCAGCCCCCCTGACTGGGGCGTGTGCGGCGGCGGGACGGGGCGGGGAATCGCCCCGGTCCGCCTGCCGTCGTAGCTCCCGGTCGGGGGTGGGGCGAGGACGGGGGGGGGCGCGCTGGGGGTCCGGGAGAAGGGGCTCACCGTGAGCTGCCGCCGCACTTTGCGTTTGGGGGTGCGGCTGCCACTCTGAAACTAGGCGATGTGCTTAGGCGGGTGGCGCGGGAAGAAAGTTATTACTGAGGAGCAGAGATCTAGCCCTATTCTAGCTCCCCACTGATGATCTGGGCCAAAGCTTTCGAGGCACAAAGAATTGTTCCGAAAGCATGGCATCCTTGAAATAATTGCTCTTAATTTGTATGATTGTATTAAGTTTTTACGTTTTCTGTGTAGTTCATTAAGGAGCCCTGGTGGCGCAGTGGTTAAGAACTAGCCTACTAAGCAAAAGGTCGGCAGTTGGAATCCACCAGGCGCTCTTTGGAAACCCTGTGCGGCGGTTCGACTATGTCCTGTAGCGTTGTTATGGTACAGAATCCACTCCACGGCAACGGGTTTGGTTTGGTTGGATGTCGTTCATTAATAAGCCCTGGTGTCGCAGTGGTTAAGCCCTCGGCTGCTAAAACCCACCAGCTGCTCTGCGGGAGAAAGATGTGGCAGTCTGCTTTCATAAAAATTTACAGCCTTAGAAACCCCATGGGACAGTTCTACTCTTTCCTACAGGGTGGTTATGAGTCACAGTCGACTCCACGGCAGTGTTTTCGTTTGTTTTTTTAATGTAGTTCATTTAGAGTTAAAATATATACAAATGAAATCTGATTTTACCTTCCCAGAAGAAGGATAACTAGGAAATGAAGTGGGGAGTGATAATGTTTTTTTGGATCTAATTTTTTTTTTCATTTATTTAATGAAGGTTTTAGAGAAGACTTGATAAAATATTTGAAAACTAATTTTGTCCTGATTTTCCTAAAGCTAGATAATTTACATAATCTCTGCTTCCAGATATCTGAACAGTCTCCATCTGAAAAATAAATTCCAAACGGCTTTTTTACAAGTCAACGAGTAAATTTGAGGAGACCCAACCTATGCAATTCAACCTTCTCTTTATCTCTAAATTGCCTTTATTGTTCTAGTATAGTAAGAAGAAAAAAGAGGACATGTTTGTTGTTTTATTTTATTTTATATTTATAATAGATTTATACACAGCAGTACCTTAAAATGGAAGAGTTTTTGTTCTGCAGTATCTTATTTGGGTTTCTGTAAGTTTGAGCCTGGGATCCCACTTGAATTCTTCTGTGTACCAGAGGAAGAAGAGTTCCCAGGGAAGTCTTAGAAGGAGGGGTGAGAAGAGAGGACAGGGAAGCAGGAGAGAAGATTCAAAGTCTGGGCCTTGAAAGATGTGATCGATCCTCACCTGCCCACAACCCCCCAAGTCTTTTTCCTGTGATCCGTAAATCTTCAGTTAGGATGATTAAATTTGTGAATGCTTGCTGTGAGCAATATTTTGAAAGGTAACTCGGAGGTATAAATCTAGCCTGTGTAGAAGAGGGACTCGGGAGGAAGAGCCCATGAGAAGGGCAGAACTCAGGGAATCCTAAGAAATCTGAGCTGGCACTTTGGACAGCCTCAGCCAATGACATGATCAAGATTCCAGCCAGTGTTCCTCAGCTCTTAAGGGAATGGTCACAGTAGTCCAGAATCTTATCAGTGAATCAATTAACAGAATTCTTAAGCTTAAAAATCTTCTGTGAGGGGCTCAAAAGCAGAAATAAGAGTGTGAGCTCCTCAAACACAATAACTAATTCTGCATATCTAGTACTCAGCCTAGAGCCTCCATAGTTTTTTGTAGGAAAAAAATAGTTACCATCCGAGTGAATCAAATGGGCAGTAGCCCCAATAGTTTACATGACTCCTCCACTGTAAGCTACCATGGTAGATACCAGCCTTTCACACCATTGGTTAATGGTATTCAAGGATGACATCAAGGTCTCTGTACATCAGCTGCTGCTAATTTGTCTCTTAGGGGGCCCTGGTGATGCAGTGGTGAAGCTCCCAGCTGCTAACCGAAAGCTTGGTGGCTTAGACCCACCAGCCCCTCCAGGGAGAAAGATGTGGCAGTCTGCTTCCGTAAAGATTACAGCCTTGGAACCCTTATGGGCAGTTCTACTCTGTCCTACAGGGTCACTATGAGTTGGAATTGACACCAATGAGTTTGATTTGGTTTGGTTTAAAATTTGTCTCTTAGTGAATATTTAAATTATTAAAGTTCATAATATAATTTTGCAGTTGCTCTGCAAGTTTGTTTGCACGCACGTATGAGAGAAAGAGAATGTAAAATGGTTTATATTCCTGGAAAGCAGACATAGAGCAAGCATTGCCAAATTATAATATTAACAATTGTTAACATTTACTCATTGCTTACTGTGACCCAAGCACTGTTGTAAGGACTTTATATGTTACCATAACTAATTCTCCAAACACTGGGAAGTAGGTACTGTTATTATTATCCTCATTTTACAGATAAGAAAACTCAGGCACAGAGAGGTTAACTGACTTACCCAGGATCACTGAGCTAGCAAGTAACTGAGTCAGGATTCAAGCCCCAGCAATTTAGACTCCAGAGCCCATACACTTAACTGCAATACCAGAATATGGATTTAAAAAAAAGAAACGTTCTAAAGGTACAAGTGGGCACTTTATCTTGAATGTCAATAGAGTTTATGAATAGTAATAACCTTAGCATAACCATCCAAAACCAAACCGATTGCCATCGAGTCAATTCTGACTCATAGCAACCCTATAGGACAGAGTAGACCTGCCCCATAGGGTTTCCAAGGCTGTAATCTTTACGGAAGCAGACTGCCACATCTTTCTCCCAAAGCATGGCTGGTGAGTTTGAACTGCTGAACTTTCGGTCAGCAGCCAAGCTCTTAACCACTCTGTCACCCCGCCTCCTAGCATAACCACCAGTGATAGCTAAAATGAGTGTGTAATTGTCCTAACATTTTGTATTACCCAGCATCCCTGCTCTATTTTAGTCCTATGCTATAACTTATGCAGAGAAGTAATTAAGAAAGTTTTTCTTTTTAATTGCATCTTCAACTGCCTCAGAGGGCTGGAAAAGATTTGTCTACTTCTACAGACCTTAAAATCCTAACTTTTCTTTCCATTTAGACAAGCAAATAAATAAAAGTCAGTATGAGTGGGTGTTTTCTCTCTTCTTGATAAACTTGAATCAAAACTCTGCCGATAATATCCAGAATGTGTTTTCCAGAAGTGAGCACCTTCCAGAGATTGTCTTCTTCATGGATTCTTTACAAATATATTAGTCATGGTTTACTCCTCTGTAAGGTATGGCAGAATGCCTTGCACATAATGAGCTCATTATAAAGATTTTCCTAAATGAAAAATATATATATCTTTCCCACCTCTTCCCTGAAAAATTCATGCTAAGTATGATTGTAAAGGAGCTTTTGACTTTTGGATCAAATGTGTATAGGCCTCCAGAAAGACCAAATAAATAGTCGTGCTAGTCTGGAAGTTCTCAGCATGGATCTGCCATCTTGGACTCCTATCGGAGATCGGCAAACAGAGGGTACAAGAAAGCAGCTTCACGGAGCCTCCAGCAGGAGACAGAACAACCAGTAACCAACTATATATGCTTTCCCACCCCCTATCTTTCTTCACCCCCGCTCAGCCTCCTCAGCTTCCCGCGACCACAGTCTCTTGGCCAGGAAGCACCAGCTTCAACCCAGTGTTGCTTGGATTACACTCGCCTGTGCTAGCCGGCTCCCTGGGTGCCATTTGTTGGCTGCTGGTGTTGCTTTTTTCTGCTTCATTAGATTTCTTCCTTACCTCTCAATGACTCCCCCTCCTTTCTCTCAAATTCCTGGATCTGTGGCCGTCTTCTTCCTGGGGGGCTGCAAGATGCCGCTCAGCTGTGGAACTGCTTCCCGGCCAGTGCTGCCGCACTGGTGGATTCCCCGGTGCTTTTTGTTTGTTTGTTCTGATTTGTTCTGTTTTGATTTGTTTGTTTGATTGTTTTCTTTTTCTTTTCTTGGCTTGGGAGCCCCTTCTGGCTGGGCACTGCTTTGCAGCTTGGGAGATACTCCCTTACTCTGTGCAGATGCACAGTAACATCACTGGGGGCATTTTTTTTTTTTTCTTTTCCTCTGGTTTGTTTTCTTTTTATTTGTTTGTTTGTTTTTTTGTTTGTTTTGTTTTCTTCTCTCTCTTTTTTGCTTTTTGTCTTTCTTCATTTCCAGTTTCTCGATTTATACATTTTTTCCTTTTATGCTTTTTTTTCACTTTTGTTTTCCTCCATTTCTCAGTTTCTCGTCTCTCCATGCCAATAGTAAGCTCCCTTAGCACTCTTTCTTGTTTGTGTGTATGTTTTTGGCTCCTGTTCCACTCTCCTCTTTTCCATACCCATCTTAGCTCCACACATCACAATCTCCCTGCTCCTTCCTGCCTACCTGCACTGTGCGCTGAACATCATACCCCCAAGCAGCACAGGCATGGCCTACTGGAACCAGCCCTGCACTGATTACCCATCTTCCCTGGTGGCTGTAGTATGTGCCACAAACAAACCATCCCAGCAACTCCCCTTCAGTTGGACCTGCCCTGCTGTACCACACCTGAGTGACTGACCCTGCCCATTGGAGAAGGAG